TGGTCATATTTCCTAAACTACGCAGATCGCTAACACCGTAGCCTACGATTCAATAAGTATCGTCTTAGTTTAGTCTCTGTGTACGACAAATTAAATTTAAGCCTGGCGAAGGAGTTCAATGGTGGCCAATGGGTTGCAAAATAACCTCCGAAGTTTGGAAATCGTACGGCACTGTCAATAAGCATGGCTATCGCCTGTTTCCTCTAAAAGAGATTATGTACAGATTTGATACTAGCCACGAAGAACATGGACCTTCTTAAAAACGTTTGACTTCATAGATTAATTCAAAGTCGCCACGTCCTTCAGACTTCCATTTAAACAACATTTTTGTCCTTGACCACCTGCTTCACCCTTCGGTGGAAAACGTTTACATCTGTCCTCCATCCTAAACTTCGCTTTTCACCCTGGAGTTTAACATCCACTTTTTCACTACGGCCTCCGTGAGAACAGCAGCAGCTGTTTTAAGCCTTGTCGTGTACTGGGATCAGTTTTTAAACAGGAAGTCCCAGGCTGGACCCTTCATCGGGGTCAGACAACGGATGTTGTTTTTGCTGCAAGGACAAAATTAGACTTGACGGAACTTCGGATTCCTGAGAAGAAGTGCTGTGTAGCTAAGCCTCAAAACTGATGAGATAGAACTGATGAGAGAACGGACAACGAGATAATATTTAATATGCAATCTATACGCCGGATTTCACAAGCAAGGTACGATTGGAATTTCCTGAATTATTTGACATCTAGAATAAATGGTCTCTTTTGCTCCACTAGAGTTTCACGACAGATAGATGCCACAGGGCTTTGACTCTCTTGTGGTGGAGGGGAGGAGGGAGCGCAAGGGGAGGGGGTTTTAAAGATAACTTGACCGTAGGTAATGAACTCTACTTCCTCTTTTCAATTCACAGAGCAATAGTGCAGACGAAAGAAGCTGAAAACGAAGACAAAAATCATTACGTGGCTTCCTGTCCTCCAGCCTACGAGGACACCTGGTGCCTTCTTTGAACAGAGTACAGCAACATTGTTAAAAGCTTAGAGTGGTGGGTGATGAGAAAAAAAAAAGTCTTATTTTTCAGTATCATGTTTTCTACCTGATTCAACTGGGATGGACCGATAACGCCTCGGTGAATTTTTAAACCCCACTCTTACATCAGGACTTGTGTGTGCCTGTTTAGAGATATGTTTTTGTCCCTGCTTCATCCTTTTAGGTTTGCATCTCCACCTGCGGGAGTCCGAGCTTCTTCACCACCGCCTTCCAGGTCTCAGCCTCACCAGGATCTCTGCCCACGACATCCCTCGCCAGGAGGAAACAGGTCAGTGTTGAGGAGGAGAAGTGGCACAGACGCTAAAAGAAAAAAAGGAGAGGAGTGCACAAACTTACTAGCTAAGCTCCTGCGCTGACTGTTCAGGTTCTACAAGGAAAAGTCCAACATGGCTGCTACTCTTCTCCGACTGCCTCACCAGCACCTTCTTCCTCTTTGTTCTGGTTTTCTAGGTGCTTTTTGTCTTTGTTAATGTCGCTGACGAGGAGGACTCTGGTGAGGTGGCTCTCCAGAACCTGCTGCTCCAGTGGTGTGGATGTAAACCACAGCGGATTGTTAGGGCTGCAGGAAGGTTCTGGCTGAACGTAGAAGACGTCATGACTCTCCCACAATGATGTTGGGCTGGGGTGGGAAATAGGGGGAGGAAATTTCAATTTTTTTGCTTAAGATTTTAGAAGACATTAAAATTAAACTAGGCGTTTTACATCAAGTCCTCATATTAAGTTGATCAACACTATTGTTCAGGATGTGAACAGCAAAAAGTTATAATCACAGGACTTTATAAAAACTTGTAGAATTTTTTTTACAATTTCTTTTGATATCTAAATTACCTCACTGCACATTAGCAGTGTACATCCGACCTACCACTTGGATCTGTAGATGTCGTAGAGGTGGCGCTCATGCTTCTTGAGTAGAGAGAACACAGCAGATCCTCCCGAGTCCTCGTCGGCTTCTTTGTCCTGATTTTCTTCCTCCGACTTCCGCTTCCTCTTCTTTGATTTTGTTTGGACTGTAAATGATGCAAAATGGAAAGAAATAATTAACATCCAACACTGGAGATGAAACAGAATAGCAGTTAGCTCAGTAGAGCTGTGCTCACCAGTGTGATCCTGAGAAATGGAAGGCACGCGAATGCAGACGTTTGTCTCCTTGGTGTCCGGATGGACCGTGTCAGGGTCATAGACGTTAGCGAAGGAGAGGCGGAGGTGTTGCTCCGCGGTGCGCAGGCCAAGATATTTGGTATTCAGGTAAACCAATGAGCGCAGCAGAGCCTCGGGACTCTGCTCCCCGAGCTGCTGGCTGCTCCACAGGCTCTGCTCCTCCACTCGCCCCCACAGGGAGCCTGCAGGGGAAACACTGTTTAGGCCTGTGGAGCACTGCAGTAAGTTTTGCACTTTGGCAAAAAATAAATAAATAAAGTGTTCTTCAGTAAGTATAGTGTGTCTTCATACAACGTTACAGCAATCACAGTGGATCAGGATGTGAACAGCAAAACAGTAATAATCACTAGACACCTTTCAGAGACCATAGCAATGCCAAAGACAGCCACAAGGGGACGCGGTTTCGTTCTGAAACGACCATCGCGTGTTTGAACACGCGTGTGTGTAACTGCACTCACCATCGGGAAGCACATGGGGCTTCCAGTCTTTCAGAACTTTGTTCAGTTCTTCCCCAAAGTGCTGGTAACACGGGTCACCGAACAGATCATCTTTTCTGCCTTTGGCGTGGAGATGCTACAAACAACCAACACAAAGTAAAAGCGCTCGTTTAAACTTCTGCCTGCGCTCCATCAAGAACAGTTACACAAAACTATTTACAGTGTCCTCATATCGAGTGGATCATCACTTTTTCAGGATGTGAACAGCAAAGAGTTCAAATCACAGGACACAAAAGGCTGCACAGAAACCACGTGAAGCCGAAGGTTACATGTTCATACGGAAACACGAGGAATCTAAAACATTGAGGATACGTATTTTAAACTAGACATTTCATTATTAAGGTCATATATCGACTTTAACAATAACATCCAAACATTACATTACATACATTATCAAATACAATCTTACATTAGCAGCGGACTAAGTCTTACGTGTCGTCGTGTGTCTTCAGACCGAGCCACTCTGCAGCCATGCTGATAAGAGTTCAACGCGTGAGCAGTGTGCACCACCTAAACGTGTCCCACTGGAAACATTTACTAGTCAAATAGTTCCCACCACTAGGCGTCACCAACGGGAATCGTGTGCCTACAACCCACCATATCCAACCTCAGCCGTGTGTGTTCATTTAGATTTATTTAATTGTTACCATTATCACAATAAGTATTACTGTGTGTGACGCCAATTTATGTTAAAATGTGTTTGTTGTGCATGGTTTTCCCGAGCTACAGTACTGATTTCATAGCGATTAACATTTTAAAATATATCTATTTATCGGATGACTCAAGCATCCTCTCGACTTGTTACCAACCTGCTGGATCCCCAGGCAGAGGTAGAGGATGCTGTCTGGAGAATAGCGCTCCCCATTAGGCCTGCAGACCTCCTTGACAAACTGCGACAGAGATGCGTTCAGCTCCTCTGGACTCAGTGACAACAGGCTGCTTTTGGATCGAGCTGTAGGAGATCGGCAACAGGAATTGTTATCAGTCCACAATGTTTTAAACCGACAGATAAGGAGTCTTCCGAGTCTCAATTCTTTACCTTTGTTTTGTTCGGAAATGTCTTCTCCTTTGCTGTCCTCTGCTTCCTCGTGAGGCGCCAACGCCCAGCGTTTCCAAGCGTTGATGCCGTAGCGGGCTTTCAAAGGCAGCGATCGTCCCTCCGAACGTTTCCCCGAAGGACGGGGCGAAGAGGACACAGGTAAATCTGAACTCCCCTCCACTGCTCGCCTCTTGTTGCCCTTTGATAAAAAAAACCATATGTTACAAAATCAGGAGAATCAACGAAATGCGTACAACAGCTTATGTATTGGTGTTCATACCTGTCTCCTAGTCTGGAGTCTAACTGTTGACCCCTCTTTTTTTTCCTCTTTATTTGCCAAGGCAGGAGGTAGGGAGGAGCTTGTGTCTTTATCCACGCCCTCTTGGTCAGGAACAAGGTCTGATGTTGAGATCGGAAACAGCATCTTATATTTAATTTGGTCTGTTCTTAAATGCCATAAAAAGTCCTAAATGGTGGGCTTTTTTTTTTACCTTGAGGGAAGTCTGCCTCCAGGTCCAGGTCTGGTTCATACTTGTCTTCTTCCTCTTCCTCTGTCTTCTTCGTCTCCTCTTTCATTTCAGAGCTATTCCCAGATGATGATGAAGAAGAAGACGACGACGACGACGACTCCTCCTTCTCCTCCTCCTCCTCATCATTCTTCTCTTTTTTCTCCTTTTCTTCATGCTCCTCCTTTACTTTTACCTCCTTCACATCTGAAATATAACACATCAAAGTTCAGTCCCCGCTCTCATCATGTTGTTCTATATGTATTTGACTGGAGATTTTTAAACCGTCTTCACAAACAAACCTGGTTTCTGGTCCACATCCATGGAGTTTGCATCAACTTTCACAGAGTCGTGGGATACCTTGGTTTTGAGTTCATTAATGCTCTGGATGATCTGCTCTGTTCCCTGGAGGGTGGTGGGCAGGAGAATAGGCACGGGGATCTGGACCGAAAACAATCACAAGCGTGCATTCAGCAACCAAGACGGTGTTTTTCTATTGTATCACACAGTTGTATTTTAACTTTGGCTTTTCTTCAAATTCACCATGACATTCTTACCGGTAAAGGCAGAGATATTGGGGTGGGTGTGACCTGGGCGTACATGTTCATAGGTACGGGGATGAAGACGGGCACAGGTATGGGCACGGGAACATACTCCCTCTTCACTCCGTCATCTACATCTGTAGATGAAAAAAAAAAACTTGGGCAATAAGTCTGCATAACAAAACAAAAATTTCTTCAGTTTATATTATTTTTGTGGTGATCTTTGAAGTCAAATATATGTGCCTGGCGGTGGCTGGTCAGGACCGATAATGCTGAAAACCATCCCGTTCCAATCACCAGTCAGGGGATCAGTGGTGGCACTTACCTGTCTGTAACAGTTTGCTCTGCATGTGTGGTTTGCAGTACGTGGCCTTGGTCAGAGTCAGCGGTTTACAGAGCACTGCCTTGTTCTTGACGTCCCTGGACAAACCTGTACCAGAGTACGTCAAACTTCCCTGGTTGACCTGCTGCCACACCAGAGCAAAGAAACTGTTATTTCCCATAAAAAACATTTTAAAGTAGATTGATCAAGTTATAGACTTAAAAAGAAATCAACTGTTACTTACCACAACTTTGGATCCTTGAGTGTTGAGGCCTGTTAAAGAAAAAAAAAACATAACATAACTAAATAGTGAGGGCCAAAGGGAAACAATGATTTCTTTGCACATATTCTCAGTTAACTGTGGTATTGCACCAGACCAGTAAATACTGAAACACTGGTTCATAGACTGTTTTTCACTGCTTGAAAAGCACAGTAGGCGGTGCAGCAGGAGGAACCACAGCACACATGCTCTTGAATCTAAAGGGCACAGAGGTGTCCTCACAGCTGCCAGATGCATTGTTTTTAATGGCAGGGATGAGAGGGTCAAAGGTCAAACATATTACCAGGTATGCACATCAAAGCAGCTGCTCTTTCTTCGGGATTCTAGAAAGAGTAATTTTAAAATTGAGAAAAAAAAAAAAAAAGACAACATCTATACTCTACTTTTCCAGTTATCTTGATCTACTCTTTGACAGATATAACTTCACCAGAACCTTTACATAATTAAGGTTCAAATTAATGGTCCAAAAAATGTGATTGCTACAGGCTGCTGCTTCTCCATTTTATTAACGCCTGGTGTGTTAAAATATAATAATAAAAAAAAAACCAACACCTGGTGTGTTAAAATATAATAAAAAAATTAAAAAAAAAACATTTTATGGTTGGGTTGATCAAAATATCTTAGGAACATAATGGCAGAGTTAGCAATAAATTTCACTCATGACTTTAATGGTAGGATACTGTTTTTTTTATAGCATAACTGGCAATATAAGCCAAAGTGTTTTCCAATTTTGTAAAATTAGATTCAATACCTAAATTTAATTTTATTGAATTTTGTTTTAATTATTTAACGCTTATTCACTCACGTAATTGAAGAATATAACATGGTATTTTTTTTATAATAATAATCTTTTTCTTTTCCCCAATTATATAACATGGTATTTTTTATATAATAATCTTTTTCTTTTCCCCAATTAGTGTTTTGTGATTTGTATGGCGTCAAAATAAAAAGTCCAATAATTAAACGACCATAATTTTTTTATTTATTTTATGGTCTGTATTGTCATTGTACCACAAGGATAAGTGTAAGTTGTTTCATTTTAAGGGTTCATACCCAGACTGGTGTTCTCTGGGCCCTTCTGTGTGACCATGATAGGTTCGTTCTGCTGGCAGTAGAACTTGAGCAGACAATCCTGGTCACAGAACTGCTTCACCTCAGTTCTCCACATCACAGACTCCGTCAGGTGACCCTGCACCTTACAGCAGTCGCACCGCGCCCGCCTAGTGGGGGAATATTAAAAAAAAAGTTCAAATTTTAAAGTACTAATAGTTTTATCTCTCAGTTAAGAATGAAGACAAAGAGATCATTGTATTAGCAGACCTTGTGGTACCAGTCATGGAACTTCTTGGCACAGGCCTCGCTACAGAAGTCCCGAGTCATACCGCCCAGCTGCCGAGTCACGGCCTTTTTACAGAGCTGACTGCAATGGTTACAGCTGACACACTTCAGACCTAGACGCTTGATGAAGTCCTGTTTATACAACAGTTTGCAGCCTGGGAAAGGGAAAGTAAAAGGGTTGATGCACAACAACAAATACAGTTAATCAAATTTGATATGAAAATTACAGAGAGAAGAAACTCCGACCTTCACTGCAGAAGGGCTTCTTGACTCCGGAGAACTTCACCGTCTCGTGCAGCGTCTTCTCCTCTTGGCAGTACTCACAAAACGTCACAATGCAGTGGAGCTTCTTGTAGTCGTCACAACACGTTTTACTGCAGAACTGGTAGACTTTATCCTGGAGACACGGCAAAACGTATATTTATCAGTCTGTGCTGAGTTTGTTTTTATGAACTTACACAGGGTGACTATTATTTTTAAAGAAAAACTATATAATAATATCTTACTTCTACATCATATACCTCATCGCATGCTAGTTTTTCGTTTTGTAATCGTAGTCAATATTATTTTCCTCATGGTGTGGTTACTATGTCATTTGTGGCGCTCACCTCCCACTCCAGAATTTCAGGCTTCAAACTGAATATTCCTCGACAGTAGTTACACTTGAGCTGAACTGTGCTGTTTGTGGTGGAGACAGGCGTCTGTCCATTGGTGGCTGGTTGTATAGTAGTATTCTGTGACAAAGGAAAGAACAGGGGGAAAACATTAAAAAAAAAGCTGCTTCTTTATTACCTTTATAATCTATGTGCTGAATTGGATTTATAAAAGAAATTAATTGGTGTTAAAATATAATAATAATTTTCCATTCCTGATATTCGGTTATCTTAGACTGCGACTATCTTGAAAAATAGTCCAGGCACTTAAATGCTTTTTTTAAGGCTATATATTTTGGCCACAGCAAAGCAACTGGTATAAGCAAAATGATCTCCGACATCTGATTGTCCTTTCGCAGGTGTATTGGATTTCTTATTTTACATTTTTATTTCAGCGACTCCTCATTTCTCACCTGGAACTTGGTGACACACTGCGAGCTACAGAAGTTGAGGATGTTTCCCTCTGGCAGTGTGGCCTGGTACTGCGGTAATGAACTCTTCTTACAGAAGTGACACGTGGGCTCGACACCTGAGTACAAACAAGCATGTAAACAAACGCGTAGATCCATTTCTTCATCACTCTGTGCCGTCTACTTACTGGTTAACGAGCTCACTGTCAGCGTCCCCTTGTTCATGCAACTGACGGAGCAGTAGGAGCCCATGGTGCCGCTCGACCCAATGCTGTGCAGCACCTCGCCCGTCTTAATCAGAGTTTTGCACGTGCTGCAGGTTGCCAATTTACTGTGGGCCTGGAACGGAACATTAGCGTTGCATAACCTTGAATTCAAACAAATGTCTAGAGAGCGGAGGAATCCTCACGTTCATCCTGTGGTACGAGACTATTTTTTTTACCTGCTTGAACTCTCTGATGCAGGTGTGGCAGCAGAATCTCTTCTGTTGCCCGTCCACCAGCAGGAAGTGGTTGGCCGACGCTCTGCTAGGCAGGTAATCGCCGCATTGCTCGCAGCAGTTCATGATCAGGCCGTTGGCCCGGCGGTACACGTTAAAGCACGTGTCACTGCAGATCTTGTGGGTCACAGTCTTAAAGCTGACCTCGTGCCTGATCTGAGCACAGAACAGGAAAAAAAAAAAAAATTAAACAAAGGATGTGGTTCAGGTTAACGCCGCATTAAATCTGTACAAGTGGTTCATTTGGATTATTGGTCTACAACAATAATAACTATTTAAATTAACCGTTTCAGATGGATTTGAGTTTGATTAAGATGTTTGTTTTATTGTTAAGCATAAGCATATGTTTTTTCTCTCTTTAATAATAATAAATCAGATAATACCCATTATGTCATTTTAAGGTTTAGGAAAAGTTGATTTGAGGTGTTTTAAAATGAGTAATAAGAAATGAGTAAAAGGTTGAACATTTTACTTTATTTACAATCTGAAAATGAACTGATTTTTTTCTTACACTGTCCTTCAAATGTATATGGCTGAGTATTGGACACAAAAAAACTGCTGAAAACTAGACCAGAGATGTTATTATGAAATGCTAAAGTCAGACAAAGAAGAAGGAAGTGATAAACAATATATAAAGATGACCCGAGGAGGAAGAGATGAAGCCGAGACAGAAAGAAATGTCTATTTAAAAATCACGTCCAGAGACGTAAACGAAGAAAAGAAGGTTAAGCTGAACAAGACAGAGTCTTGGTTTTCGACCCTGGTAGGTGAAATATGATTAGAATGTTCAGTGAATAAGACACCAAGAGACCTATCGTACTGCATCGTTTGACCTCGTACCTGGGTGCATGGGTAGTACACTGTCCCATCATTGACCCCTCAATGCATCCTCTAGTTGATCCTTTTCATGCCGCTCAAATGTCACTCGTTGAACGGTAAAATATGTGCTGTTGACTCGTTCCATCATACTGACCTCTGTGAGTTTCCCGCAGACAGTACATTTTGTCTTAAGGCCAGATTTGGGTGGGTTCTGCTTGTTCTCGTATGCACCCAGACAACCTGTGCTGCAGAACTCCTGGAATGACTCGCTGGAGTCCACCTGGGCTACAATGGTTCCCTTCATGTTTGTGATGTCTCTGGAGACACATCATAGAAAAGGCAAAGATGGATTAACGCGTCCACTGCGTCGCCGCGGACGGAATTAACAAATGAGATTTTTCGAGGTTTCCGGACTCACTTTTTGCACATGGTGCAGCTCTTCTTAGGGGCAGGTTTGTGTGAGAAGGCAGAGAGGCAAGTGGTGGAGCAGAAAAGATGTGTGGAGCCTTTGCGCTGGTAAGCCGTCTGACCTTTCTTCAGGGGCTTTTTGCAATTTGCACAGGTCACCTGTCATTCACAAACACGCCAGCAGTTAAACAATCACACAGCTGTGACATCATCCGAGTTATGAGTACAGGTGGAAAAAAAATTGTATGCAATCTTCTGGTTTATTCAAGGTTGACACACACTTTAAAGTCAACTAAAACATGGTCTGGAATGGATGGAAAATTCAAAGCAATAATACAAATCTGACACCAAAGATTTGCAGCTTCCCCAGCAGTCACAAGTACGGTAATAAACACTAGTACTAGTGGATTACCTTGACTGTTCTGGGCTGTATTTGGGAGCCTGAGGTTGAAGTGGATGAGGAAGACTGGCCAGGAGGTTTCGGTAGTGATGTGGCTGGTGAAGGAGAGTCAACCCCTGTCTGTTTCTGACTGCGGGGGACAGAAGCTGACTGCGATATCCATGAATCTAGAAAATGAAGAAAACAAAAGTTTAGTTTTTGTGATGTACTGTATTTCTGGACGTTATTCCTGTACACTGCTCTGCATCTAGATTTGGTTACACATGATGGGCTCAGTAAAAAAAAAAAAAAAAAAACAGAAGTCAGAGAAGAACCAGACTTGGGTGATAGAGGGCTGAATTACTTCCTTAAATGTAACGTTTTAGTGACACTGTAGTTATATATTTGGAGTTTCTTGTAGGTGTCTTAAATGAAAACAACCAGTAATTTTTGACTGGAATTAGGACTGCTGATGACTCACAAAAGATCACAAAATGGGGCTAAATATGGGTCATAGAGGGACAAATGCTAAGCCGAAGTGAATAAAACAGATAAGATATAAGGGTGTGATGATTCATCATAGCCTACGAAGCTTCTTGCGTTGGTGATAACAGCATTTCAAAGACTTTGCTGATAAGGATAAGGCTATTGATTTTGTACCAGGAAGAAGCTTTATTTTTACTGTAAACACAAACCTCTCATGGTAAACGAACATAGCTTCCCAGTGCTTTATTGTTTTTTAAGTTTTTTTTCTGAGGCTGTGAAGGTGCTTTGCAGCAAAATAAGGTTCTGTAATTATCAATAAGAAAAAACTGAAGTAAAAAAAAAAAGAAAATCTGAGTCAACAGCACCATCTAGTGCTCGTGTAAGGTAAGTCCCTTGCTTTTAATAATTTAGTAACTTAAGAAACCAGACAAAAATATGTGAAATCTGAAAGAGGCTGATGTTTTACGTTTAATCCCGTGTTACACTGCTGCACTTGCATTTGGCGCCATAACGATGGGATTAAACATTAAACAGGTAATAAAATCTTCACCTCCTCTGTTGTGTGTTCCCATCTCTCCATTCTGTACCAGCTGACCCACGGAGCCTGACCCCCGTCCAGGGTTGAAGGAGGCTGTAGGTCGACCAGATGGGGTGTCAGGATTCAGGCTGAAGGCACTGCTTATCTGCAGACCGTTTTCTTCCGTTTGCCCTTCAACTGCCTGAATATATGATGGGTTTAATCAGATTATTACCATAACAAAACATTTCAACAAATGTTGCTATTTGAAACATGCACTTGATTCAACCAAATCACACAACTGGGGGGTCCTGAGTTCACAACGTCCTTGACCTACAGCGTCTCCCATAAATTTATTAAGGAAGTTCAGTCTTTCCAACATGCAGCTTTTAAACTAATTTTGCATGGAAACTAGTTGGTGAGGCAAGCGGACAAAACAATTGTCACACTGCGCTACATCAAGAAAGACAACTTTGTTTGTATTCGCAAATTGTGCTAGATCCACTTTTTTTCATTTGTGATATTTTTTTGGGGGGGGACTTTTTGCTATTCATTACGGCTCCCGAGCGTAAATCAGACCCTTCTGATTCTTTTATGTCGTAAATTATGACGTTGTCACATCATAATGGGTGACATAGTTACTTATGATTGTATGAACCAAGTAAAGATTTTAAAACAACAATTCTAAATATTTTTAAGACATTTTTTTATTAATATCAATGGCTATTTTGGACAAAAGCTCAGTTAGCTTACAAGCTAATTCTAGATTAATCCTCACTAAGTGTTTAAATTAAAACAAACAAAAAACCCCATCTTGGCCAAACATTTAGAAATTTGACTCTTAAGAACAAAAACCCACAAGCCCAAGGCAAAGACAGACGGAAAGGTTAAAAGCAAACCAAGACTCTTACCGCTTGTTCGGCATCTCCACCTTGCAGTGAGGTTACTGAAGTTATCATAAGGTTCACATCCCCCTCACTGTCCATTGAATGTGGTGGAGTATTTCCACTGGATCCCAGTGTGGTGACACTAGCAATTCGGATCTCAGAATCCGGCTCGGTGCTGCTGAGCACACCTGGCGAGCCAGGTAAAGAGTGGCCTCCAGGGGGCGCTGGTGAAGGGGGAAAAGTGTCTTTTTGTTCGGGCTCCTCCTCGTCGTCAATTACAATGGGCTCTCCTGCTGCTTTGGTGGGAGGTTTTGGGGGTGAGCCCGCCGGGGGTGAGCTGGAAGACACAGGCATGCTAGGGCTTGAAGTGGGCTGCACAGTGGTGGACATGTCTACAGGTACAACATCAGCCCCAGGTTCAGGGCCATCTGTACTAGGCAGATCTTGGTTGAGGGTTTTGGAGGGAAGGAGTGGAGCCTCTTCCTCTCCGACCAGGACCACATCATCATCATCGTTGTCCTCTGTGCCATCCTCCTTTGTGGCTCCATCCTCTGTATCCATGGAAACTGCCTCCCCAGCCTTCTCCTCTAAGGGGGGCGGCGTTTTCTGCTCAAGGGAGGGAGTGGCGTCTATGGGCTCCACCTGCTCCCCTGCCTCCTCTGGCACAGCAGGGTTTGGTTCTGACTCCCCATCCATCCCTAAAGCAACCACCTGGCAGCACAAACAAAAGACAAAGAGGGGTCAATTAAATGGAGGCTGCAGCAGTGATTGGTCTTGTGAAGGCCGACAGCTGTACAGGTAGCTCAGGTGTCCCCAGAGATAACCCCCCCCCCCCCCCCCCCCCCCCTCCCCGCCCCCCCCCCCCCCCCTGTCCCCTCCTCCTCTCCCCCC